TGACAATAATTTTTTATTCTTTATAATAGAAATGCAAAATATTAATTAAAAAAAAGTTAAAATGTAAGTTAAATTTTATTAATTTTTTAGCTTTTTAAATAATAATATAATTTTTATTCTTTATAATAAATCACAAAATTTAATTAATAAGTTTATCTAAATATTAATAATAATAAAATCAGCTGAAATATAAATTAAATTTTATTAATCAACCAGCTTTTTAAATTAATTTTAAAATTATTTTTTACTTTTTTATAATAAAAAAAAACAAAAACTTAATAATTAAAATCATTTAAAAAAAAACTGAATTTTTAATTATAAAACAAGTAAATATTAATAAATCTAAATATAATATAAAAAAATTAGACTACTATAAATTTTAACCTAAATTAATAGTAGTAATTTAACTTTAACTTTAACTGTAATATTAATAATTTAACAATTTAAAAATAAATATTAATCTTAATTCATTTTATTTAATATTTATGATATTTAATAATATATTTTCTTTATTTTATATTAATTAAAAATTGAAAAAAACTTAACAAATTTTAAAGAATTAAAATGTTAGAATAATAAAATTTTGATTTTTTAAATAAAATAAGCAGTTAAAATATTAGAATGATAAAATTTTGATTTTTTTAAATAAAATAAATAGTTAAAATATAAAAACTGATTTTTGTTAAAATTAAAGAATTTAATAAGAAAAATAATAATTTATAAGAAAGATAAAAATTTGTATAAATATTCTAATATTTATAATAATTAATTTTTTTTTTAATATTTAAAACTTGATTAATTTAATAAATAGTAAAAAAAAAATAGGTTTAATAATGATTCTTCTAATACATTTAAATTAAAATTAAATTAAAGAATAAAAAATCAGTTTATTATGCTATGATAAATTAGAATATGAATTATTAAAGATTAATTCTAAGGATAATGATAATTTAATAATAGATATAAAAAAAATCAAAATATATTAAATTTCTAGCTAATTTTTATTCTACTTTTTATATTTAAGCTGAAATAAAATCAATTTTAAAAACTATTAATTTTAAAATATGATAAATTGTTTAATAGTAAAAAATATACTAAAAAATATTATAGTTAAATATCAAAATTATGAAAAGCTTTAATTCTGAATTATCATCTTTTTATTGATCAATTATTAATAAAATAAAAATTCTTTATAAATTGTAATAAGAGGCTTAAAAAATAAAATAACTTATAAAATATATTCAAAATAGTATTAAATCTAAATTTGCTAAATGAAATCTAAAAGTTTTATAAGTTGTTTAAATAGAAAAAAATAAAATTTAATAAAATTCTGGAAAAAATAAAACTATATCAAAATTTATAAAAATGTAAAACTTTATCAAAACCTTAGTAAAATTTAGTGAACTTAAATATTTTATTAAATCTAAAATAAATTTAAACAAACAATCTTAAATCTAATTTAATTTAGTATTTAAAGTAAGTAAATAGAAAAAATTCTAAATTTAAATCTATTTGAATTAATAATTTAATATTATTTATTATTATTATAAAAATTTTGCAAATAAAGATCATAAAAAATTATTATAAATAAATTACAAAATATAAAATAACTTTATTTTAAATACTTATATTATTTATCTAATATTAATAAAACAGATAAAAAAAGATGATTGAAATTTATTCTTACAATATATTATTTATAATAACCAACTGAAGTTTATTATTTTATTTTAATTTACATTTTTAATTTTTATTTAATATATTTTATACTAATATTCTTTCTTCTTTACTTTTTTAACTAAAAAATCTTCTTTATACTATAATTGATTTTAATATTATAATATTATTTTAAATGTAATAAAAATGAAAATATAATAATAATATAATTAGTTATAATTTATAAATACTTTTAAATAATTTTAAAATTCTAATCAAATGTAATTTATAATATAGAAATTGATATAAGAGTAAATATTGAAGAAGAATTTGTAACAGAAAATGAAAAAGTAATAGAAATTAAAAAAAAAACTGATATAATATATATAATTAAAGTGATAATGATGATAAACTTAAAATAAATAATTGTAAATAATCATTAAAATATAAATAATAATAATAATAATAATTAATATTTAAGATAATTTTAAAAAGATTTTAAAAAGAAAAGAGGTTAATTTTATCATTATTATTATAATTTTTGTTTTTTAATAGTAATAATGTAATGTTAATGAATATTTAAAAGATTAAATAATAGTAATAATAAAAATGACGAGAATAATAAATATTTAAAAAAGTAAAGAAATTTTTTTAGGAAATATTAGGTGAAAAGATATTAATTTTTTATTATTATTTATTTTATTATTTCTTAGATTATCTAGCAGGCAAATTTGCTTACAAACTTAAAAAAATGTGTTATTTTTTTTAATAAAACATTAAATATTAATTTTAGTAATATAATAATATATAAAAAATATATAAAAAATATAGTTTATTATATATTTTATTAATTTAATTAGAAGAAATTTTAAGTTTATAAGATATTTTTTAAATAATTTAATTTTTAAAAATAAGTTTTATTTATATATTTACGAATTAATTAAATCACTTTACTATTAATAAAAATCATAAAATTTTTTAGTAATTATAAAAAGTGTAATAATTAAAGTTATTCTTCATGATAAATTTTATAATATTCAATTATAATTAATATTGCTAAAAATAAATATTAATAAGATTGTTAAAGGTTAATAATGAAATTTGTTAATTTATAATTTTTTTAAAAATTACAAATTTTTAGCTTATAAGTAACTGTAAATTATTTATTATATAAATTAAAAATAAAATTTACTATAATATAATACATATTTATAAAAAAAATTTTTTAAAAAATTTTAATTTTCATTAAAAGTAAATAAGCAGATAAATTTACTTGCAAACCTCTATAATCTAAGGGATAATATATATTTTTTTGTTTTTTATATTTATATTTTAAATTAATAATTTTAAAAATATTATTTATTTTTTTATTATGAATTTTTATTAGATTTTTATTATTAATAAAATTTTAAATAAAAATATACTGATTTTATAATATTTATTTAACTAAATTGATATTGAATTAAGATTAATTTAGAATTGAATTTAGTTTGAATTAACATTAAATTTTTTTATTTAATTTGAATTAATTAGTATCAATTTATATTGATAAAAAAACAAACTATTTAATCATAAATAATATTAAAATCAATCTAAATTTTACTTTAGATTTGGATTATTTTATTAATATGTAATCTTTAAATAATAAAGTATATTCAAGTAAATCTGATATTAAATAGTTTAATTCTAATTATTAAACTTTTATAGTATAAAATACTAACTAAAATAGTACTTATATATAATTTTTATTAAAATAAATTATCTAATATTAACATTTTTCTTAAATTTACTATAAAATTAATTTTTTTGCTTACTGCTATTATTATTAAACATTTATAATAAGTAAGAATTAACTGTAATACTATTATTTTTATATATTTTATTATAATTAAATATATTATTTATTATTATACATTTAATATTTTTATTAGTGATAATAAAGTTATTAATAAAATAGAATCTTCAATAAAAATAATAAAAATATAATTTATCTAAATAAGATCTGAATTTGCCTTAAAAAACACGTTTTAATATAAATAAACTATATCTTTATATTAATAATACCAAATATAATTTTTTAGATTAGATTTTAACATTAACTTATTTTTTATTTTTTTTCTGATAATTTTACATTTTTTATTGCAAAAGCTCTATCTATATATTAGTTTTAAACCTTTTCATTGCTAATGCTTCATTTTTTTGCTTTTAATTTCTTTTCAACTTTTATTTTTTGCAATTAATTTTTTAAAATTATTTATTTAATTTGTTTATAGATTATAACTTAAGTATAATTTTATTTTTAATACTATTACTTTTTATTAAATTCTTGTAAAATGCTATTAAAAATTTATTCTAAAATATCATGAATTTTGTTTTTTATTTACATTAAAATATTAAACATATTTACTATTTATTTATTATTTTTTAACTAACGTATATAAAATAACTAAAATAGACATTTTATTAAATTTGATTAAAAAGTTTCAATTAAAAAAGTAGTTAATATTTAAGATGATAATCACTTGCTTTTTTTACTAGTTTGATTTTTAGATAATGATAGTTATAAATTAAATATAAATAAAGTTGAGATCAAGGATATTTTGCTTGAAGGTAGTAGATATTAAAAAGAGAATAAATGAATAGAAACTAAAGGAGTAAAGCATAAAGGAGAAGAAACCTTTACTTCGGCAAATATCCTTGGGTTAAAAATCGAGTCACAAATATAGTAAATCATATGATTGTAACTTGATTTAATAGCGAAAATGGTAATGACACACTAGTATTATATATATATTACGAGAAAGGAAATATAAAAATTCTATGTCCAATTATTCTTTTTTTACAGCTGTGATTGCTATTACCAAAATTGTTAAGTTACATGTGAATTTTACATCATCCCTTCACTTGATATTTACACATGACCGACCCTTTGACCGGAAAATCATATTTCTTTTATTCCTTGCATCTTTCTCTATCCGCATAGCATAACGGATCTTTTGCATCGATAAATACATAAGCACAATTTTTAATCTATTGTAAAAATATATTTGATAAGAGTTTTGTTTCTATAAGTATTTCTTGGTAAAGAACTTGCGAGGTCGAAAGCTTTTTTCAGTGAGTTATTATTTTTTGATCCCGTCAATTCGAGCTAATAAATTATAACTAAATATATATAAAATTTTAGTTAAACATCTTTGATCTCGAGAATACCATATTTGACTTTCAGGATTTTCTTAAAAAGGCACCAACGGGTATGATATAATCAAGGTTTTTAGATTTGCGTCTTTTTTCCGAATTTTAAACACTCTCGCATTTTTCTTAAATCTAGTACGCAATTTACGTCAATGTCAACTAGAATTACCCCACATTTACATTGGTATCATTCAAGGTGTTTATTTTTGTTTGATAAATGAACAAAAAGTTTCCTACCTTTAAATAATATTTGAATTTTTTTTAAAAGATAAGTGAGGTGTGTTTTTTCTACAATTTTTCCTAAAAATTCATAATTATTGGTCGTCATATAACAATTTCTTATTACAACACATAGGAGTATTAATCCAAAAAGAATTGTTACTAATTCATCACCCATTCTCAATGATCATTGCCTAATACGAATATTTGAATTTCTCGCGGAGGATCCGAATTCATTATTTTGTTGCGCGTTGGTAAATCGCGTTTGGTGTGTATATGCGCTCCCTGTTCTTTGGCGGAACCCTTGGTTTTTTATTAGGAATTCGGGGAATGATGGATCAAATAGATGGCGTACAGGAATTATAACGACATACGTTGCAACCTTACCACAAACTTCAAGAGATGTCCTGTCTCAGGCTGGAATAAAGATATCGCGGAAGTCATCGAAACCGACTTTTGATTACGCGTGTTTTCTAAAGGGTTTACATATTTGTTCCATGGAAGTACACGTTATTTTTTGGATTTTATTAATTAATGGAATCGTTGTAGAACATGGAAGGGTTATAGTGATCAACCCCCTCCTTAGGAAGAAGATATTTATTGTCATTCAAGAATTAATGAAACATTTCTTTCGGAAATCTAACGTTTTGTATAATCTGAATGCAGGATCAGGAATCATAGTCCCTGAAATCTTGGCAAATGTGATAACCGAGATTCCCGAAGCAAAGCAAGTGTTATCGAAATTAAGAACTTTTACTTGCGGCTCAACTGTTAATACAGCCAAATTTATGTCAAAAATTGTATCAGTACTTTCAAATTACAGTCGTAATCTTCAACAATTGGAGGTCCATCCTTATGAAGATCTAAGTGAATTATCCAAGTTCATTAGTGTTCAAAAATATTTATCAGCGATAAGTATGGAGGAAAATAATACTTCTGGGAAGATCCGGAAAATATCTTGGAATGCCTCCAACAGTGCACCTTTTGAAATAATGAAAAAGGCGTATTTCATAACGCGATTAACGGTTGGTAGAATGTATTTTCCCGTTGAAGAATTATCTAATTTTGTTAATCTTGAAGAATTAGTCTTATCTGCATATGGTGATCAAGATTATCCACGATCCAAATGGATTCAACTAACGGGAGTTTATTTAAAGAAATTAAAGATATTTTATTTCTGTAGTCTTAATTCATTAATATATCTTGACATATTCGCAATTTTCATCAAAAACTGTGAAAAATTACAACAAATAATAATACACAGTCACAAGTTATCTGATCCAAACAATTCCGGATTACTGATCGCCAATATTGCACAATATTGCCCAGACATTATCTTGTACGAGGGACCTATCTTACAAGATAATAGAAGGGAGTTTACGAAATTACTAAGTTCCTGTAATCACCTAAGGTCCTTACACCTTCGTCCATCAAAGGGAATCCCTGGTGCGTTAAATCAAGAAACGTTATCAACGAATCAAGGGAATGCCGAAGGAAAGGTCGATTTTGATGCAATTTTACAGGAAATCACGGAGAAACAACCACAAAGTTTACGTAATCTCAGAATTTCAGATGGATGGATGATATCAGCGGAAGCCTTTGAAAAGTTTCTAGAAAGTCGAGAGGAAATATCTCGACCTGTTTGTTTCTATTGGAATCCTACCGTGCAATTTACAGGACAAATGGAAGAAGTTTGCAAGACGTATCATCGATATGGAGTATTGAAACAATATGTTAGTCATGTATATTACTGACCAATAGAGTTATATTAAATAGATTGTAATAATTTTGGACCGCTTAGAATCTTTTTCATTAGTTAGTACGTTAATTTTTTCAATAAAGGTTTTATCTTATCTTTACTTTTTTCTAGGAATGCGTTCATAAGTCTAAATTGCATGTTTTCTCTTATGGCAATTATTGACAAGTGAATTGAGAGTTTATAAAATATATCTTTTAGGGTAGTTTATTACGACGTATTGATAGTTATTTCAAATTTTCAATGTGAATTTTTACATAATCCGTTTAATGTAATTTGTTTAGCTATAGTCGTTCTCGATCTTTAATAATAATAAATTTATATATAGAAAAAGTTTAATATATAAATTTGCACAAATAAATAATTTTTGTTAAATAAAAAGTAATACCGGAAATAAAAATCTCTCATTTCGGCAGAATGAGTTACGTAACGTTTTGACATTGTCCGGCCAAATTGGAAACATAATCTGACTAAACTCTAACCCTAATCCTAATTCTAACTAACTCATTATATTATAAATTATTTTTTTTTTTTAATTTTTAAATAATTAAATGTTACATATTAAATAATTATTTTTTTTTAAATGTAATATATTTCTATTTTACTATTTTTCTGTTAATTTCTATTTCTCCTTTTTTTTTTATTTTTCAGTTAATTTTAATTTTTTAAATTTTTTTTTTTATATCTGCGAAATTTTTTTTTTATTTTATTCTAATCGCGAATTTTAATTATTTTTTTTTATACTGCGATTTAAATTAATTTCGGATCGATTTAATTTTTTTATGTTTATCGAACTGGTAATTTTATCATCTAATTTTCTATTGATACACTTGAACTGGAGTTGCGGAATGTTAATTTTGAAGCATAAAAGATATGAAGCATCGAAAACATATGGCAATTTTTGAAGAGATTAAATTATTGATTTGAATGACAATCCTAATGAAAAACGACCCGAATACATTTGATTTATTAATGAAGTCATCAAAAACACTCTATCTTCCAGAGTTTAATCAAATATTATAATACCAAGAAATGTTGTATACAATACTTTAAATATTATTTGGTCACGTGAAATAAAATTTATCATTAAAAAAAATCACTTTATGTTTTTTTAAGAAAATGACCCGGTGGGTTACATGAACCGAAAAATCGAGTTTGCACGGGCCTTAAATTCTTTTTATTTTAATAACTTTAATTTTTTTTAATTGATTTTTTTAATTTCTTTAATTTTTTATTTCCTAATTCTACCCTTCATGATTTTTTGATTTTTTTTTTAAATTTAATTAATTTTTTTAATCTTTGCAATTTTTTTTATTGTTTAATATTCATTAATTAATTAATTTTTTAATACCTGCGATTTTATTTTAAAATAATATTTAAGGTTTTGTGATATTTAATTATTTAATTATTTTAACTTTATATAAGAATGTTATCATAGTAAATATGACCATTTCTAATAATCATTTTAATACCTTATCGTTATATATTACAAAAGAAATACTTTTATATATATAATATACCCTTTATAAAAAGGATTATTTAACTATCAAGTTGTTAAAATGAAAAATGTTAGCCTATCATCAGTTTTATGAATATATCAAAAAAAAAAACTGAAAATTTTAATAATAAACCCAAATCTAGTCATCTATATATATTATTTATAAACATTATAAAAGAAAAATTATCTGACTGATTATATTTGACAAATGTTTAATAGTTGTAGAAGTGCATTTACAGCTTAAATCTAGTGATCTAATAAATATTTTAATTAAATTATATGTCATATATTAAGAAAGAATAGGCTAGTTATACAAGTAAATAAAAGAATCTCTTATTTAAAAAACATAAAAATTGATTAGCATAGATAAATAACATTGCAATTAAACAATTAATTAAAAATGTTAAATGGTCTTTAACTGATTATTATATTTTAAGAGATTACTAACTCTAAAGAAGTCTAATCACTTATCTATAATAAGTAACCTCATCAAAAAAATATTATAATAATTTTATAATTAATTTTTAAAATGAAAATGATATTCAAAATTAGCAATTTTGATGGACCGCTAAGTATAGGACTGGTCCTTATAATCCAATCCCAAATCCTTAAATTTTAAATTTTAAGAAATTCTGAAATTCCAAAAAGATTTATTATATATTTTCATTTAATAGCTCATTAAAACATTATTTAATAAACTGTAAAGAAGGAAAATTTACCTGTAAACATAAAAAAAATTATTAATTTTCTTAATAAAAAATAAAATATTAATAATTATTATATAAAAAATATAGTTTAATATATATTTTATCAATTTCATTAGAAGAAATTTTAAGTTTATTAAGAAGTTTTTTAAATAATTCAATTTTTAAAATTAAGTATTGAAAAATTTATTATAATAATTTTTTAAAAATTTTCTTAAAATTCATATATTTGCGAACTAATTAAATCACTTTACTATTAATAAAAGTTATAAAATTTCTTAATAAATTATAAAAATTGTAATAATTAAAATAATATTCTATTATAATTAATATTACTAAATGTAAATGTTAATAAGATTGTCAAAGGTTAATAATAAAATTTTTAATTTATAATTTTTTTAAAAATTACAAATTTTTAGCTTATAAATAACCTTAAATTATTTATTAAATAGTTAAAAAATAAAATTTACTTTAATATTATTTATATTTATAAAATTAATTTAAAAAAAAATTTTTAAAAATTTTAATTTTTCATAAAAGTAAATCAGAAGAGAATTTATAATAAATAAGTAAACAAATTTGCCTATGAATTTTTACAGTTTAAGAAACAATAGATAAGTTTTATAATAAATTTGTAAATATAATTCTTTGTAATTTTCTTGAAAATTTTAGAATCACTTAGGACTATTTAACATCCTTACAATTAATGATTAAAATAGTGATATAATTAAATGAGTTAAAGTTCTTTTATTTAGCTATAATAGAAGACAATATTATTAGAGAAATTTTAATCAATTAAGATGCAATACTAATGATTAAATTTAATAGTAATAGAAAAATAGTTTAAAGTTGTATAATAATTAAAGATATTGATAATCTAATTAGAATTGAAAAAATATAAATAGTAAGTTTTTTAAACAAATTATAGAAGATAGATTTTTATCTTCAATTTTATGACTTAACCTAGATAAAATAATATTATTTATCAATAGAATAATAATCCTAAATATATTACTAATTTAATCAAAAAATGATATCTATTAAAGTATTTAATTAGCTATCTTAATCTTCTAATTTGAATTCTATTAAATATATTTAAAATAAAATTATAGATATCTATATAATCTTAAAATCTATCTTCAAATAAAAATAATTTTAAGAGAATTTAAAAATCATATGAAATATTGAAATTGATTATTATAATCAACTAATTGATTTTATATCTTATACCAAATAGTAGACTTATAATATATTAAGTTATAGTATATTAAGATTTTATAACTTTTAAATTTCTCATCTTAAATAATTTAATATATAGTAATATATCTAAGAATAGTTAAAATAAATGAAATACTAATTAAAAATAAACTTTAGTATTTATACATTTTATTTAATTATAAATTATTAAATAAATAAAATATCATTATCTAAATATTAGCAAATCATATAAAGTTATTTTTATTCTTATATAACCTTTAGAATAATATTTGATTATCTATTCTATTACTTTTATAAGTTACAATATGTCACAAATTTTAAAAGTTTAAAATCTATTATATTTAATTAATTAAAATTAAAAATTAATTAGAATTGAATTTGAAAAATGATAATTATAACTAAATTAATTTTTAAATTAATTCAATTAATTTTAATCTCTATATTTATAACTATTATTGATTAATTAACTTAAAATTCAAATTTTTTTGATGATCTTACTATTATTATTCTATCTATAAATAAAATGTTATTGTCTTTTACTATAAAAAATATTATGTTTTTTTACTAATCAAATTATTAAGTTAAACTGCTAATATTAAAAAATAAATAAAAATAATTAAATATCATAATATAAAAATTATAATATAAAAAACTAAAAAAAATGAATATATTAACTAAAATTAAAAAAAATAAAAAATAAAAATAAAATAAAAATAAAATAAATAAAACAAAAAAATATAAAAATAGAAAAGTAAATAAAATGAAAAAGTGAAATTAAAAAATAAAAAAATAAAATAAAATAAAATAAAATAAAAAGCAAAATTAAAAAAATATAAAAAATAAATTAAATATTAGATAATTTTTATTTATATATAAGTATATATATATATAAGTCATGTAATATGATGATATTAAAATTATTTTTGCTAGTATTAAAAAATTAAAAAATCAGTTATATGATATATCTCTTAAACTGTAAGTATAAAATTATTTTTAAAACATTTAAAATATTTTAATATCTAATGATTATAAAAAAATAAAATAAAAATTTTAAATTCATCATATTATGATATATTTAATAGTAGTATTTTTAAACTTTTAAAATTCATAATTATCAATATATATTAATTTTTCA